GAACTCTAGACATTGTTAACGCTTTTAACACGTTGAATGCCACACCAATTTTACAGGGATTGTCCGTGGCGCCACGATGAATTTTCTATTATGCGATACATATAATGTTGAAATATTATCTGCAATAGATAAGTTACAGTGTATAACAATGTTTGACATGTTAATTGCGACGGGGGTCACCGGTGGCGCTGGAGTGCGATTTCGCGCGATGTCTAAGAATATCTCAACAATTGATGATTGAAAACATGCGATCGTCGATTATCTCATATTGTTTTGTCGCGTTGTTGAGTAATAGTTTCACGATTTTATTCTTTCCGAGAGTGTTAAACAATCAGGTAAGAACCTCTATTATGTCAACAACTGACCAGACTGAAGCAGGCGATCGACCAGAAGCGGCCAGAATTGGCCAATAGGAAGGGTGTTGTGTTCCATCAAGCAACGCCAGGCCGCACACATCTTTAACACGTTGCGTACCAAGCGTGATTACGTTTTGTTTCCTACCGGCCCAAGTTTTTATCTCGGCGCACTAGAACGATAGCGGAGAGATATGCGGGAAAACCAACAATGTAACTCGAGTAGATCCATGCATTGTCGATTATCTACATTTACAGTGCTATCGACCTATGTAATTGATACATTGTTTTGTTCCGAAATAATCTTATTGGTAAGTAGCTTATTTTGGATTTGGAAACGTTTATCGCATTCCCTGGAAAGCGATAAGCGTTTCGGTTAGAGCAGCGTGGTCCAAGCGTAGCGCAACGCGCTCGAGCCCTTCCCCCACTCGATCTACTCCGTTCCGCAGAACGTTGTCTTTCTATAGTTTACGCGACAATGTAGTCAAAAGAATCACATATACATCTTTCATGTATAGATTATTCAGTTGAAAAGCATACTTTTTCTGAAACGCACATCAGTAATTTTTTATCCCAAAAATGTTCATTGGACGGCGTGAAAGTACAATTGAAAGTGAGAGTAGTGATGAAAACGTTGTGAGTTTTAGAAGAAAAGTTAGAAATAGAATTTCGTCGAGATCAAGCTCGGATACTGATGAATCATATGCAAGTGAAGATATTGAAGAATTACTAGAAGAACTGACTTTAGACGAAGAAGAGAAATTGAACACAGCTGATAATTCATTGGAAAATATCCAATGGAACGAGTTCGATAGTAGATAGTGAAAGCGAATTTGAAGATGACGGTAATAATGACGAAAATAATACACAAGAAGAGATGCGTCATACAGATTGGCATATTCCTTCGTGTAATCGACCAAAAATTACATTTTCTAATTCATCGGGAATCAACGATGGGGTGCGACGATTTTGCAAAATTTGTTATCAAGTGGGCTTTTGTTGGATTTGCCGTCTGGCATTAGCCCCGGTGAAGTTCTTTCGCTATTCTTGAATGAAACAGTAATAAGTCTTTTAGTCACAGAAACTAATAGATATGCAGAGCAGAAATTACTTGAACATAAAACGACTGGTCACGCTGGACAAAATAAATGGAATCTCACCACTTCCGAAGAAATTAAAAAATTTATTGGATTGATGATTTGGATGGGTCTAGTACAAACACCGCTAAAGAAATGTTGGTCAACGGATCCTGTATACAATTTTTCATTGCCGCGCAGCACAATGTCCCGCAATCGATTTGAAGAACTGCTATCAAACTTGCATTTTGCTAACAATGAAACGATAGTACAAAATAACAAACTTGGAAAAGTTTTACCACTTGTAGACATATTGATGGTTAATTATCAGAAGGTTTTTTCACCAGGCAAAGACATTGTTGTCGACGAGACAATGGTTCCGTGGAGGGGACGACTAGTATTTCGGCAGTATATTCCAACAAAGTCACATAAGTACGGTGTAAAACTGTTCAAACTATGCTCCACCGAAGGATACACATGGTCTTCAAAAATATATTCTGGACGAGATACCAGCGGAAAAAGAAAAGTTGGCATAGCAGAGAGTGTCTGCACTGAACTTGCAGACAAATTATTGAACGAAGGACGTACTTTATTTGTTGATAATTTTTACACTAGTTATGAATTAGCACTTAAATTTTTAAATTCTAAGACGCATGTGGTTGGAACGGTACGGCGCAATAAAAAAAAAAAACCAAGTTGTGTAATGTATCCGTTGAAAAGAGGGGAAATGGTGGCACGAGAAGATCCAAATGGTATTGTAGTACTAAAATGGAGAGATGTTCGCGATGTCACAATCTTATCCACAAAACATCCTCCCATCATGACTCCAAGCTCGAATTCTACACATCGCGGTCGTCCTACGAAAATGAAACCTTTGGCGATAAGAGAGTACAATATTGGTAAAAGTGGCATCGACAGAAGCGACCAGATGGTGTCATATGCAACAAACATACGAAAAACCATCAAGTACAACGATAGTAAATGCACATATAGTGTATCAGAGAGCTACACAAAAAAAAATACATATAAGAAAATTCCGTGAACTGAACTCTAGACATTGTTAACGCTTTTAACACGTTGAATGCCACACCAATTTTACAGGGATTGTCCGTGGCGCCACGATGAATTTTCTATTATGCGATACATATAATGTTGAAATATTATCTGCAATAGATAAGTTACAGTGTATAACAATGTTTGACATGTTAATTGCGACGGGGGTCACCGGTGGCGCTGGAGTGCGATTTCGCGCGATGTCTAAGAATATCTCAACAATTGATGATTGAAAACATGCGATCGTCG